GGACCTTCTGTTTAAGTTTTTATTTTTTGGCTCTCAAGTTTATTTTGTTCTGTGTTTTCCAGATCTATATCACTTTTTTTATTCTTAGTTTTTTAGGTCATCTCTTTTCTTAAAAAGTTTTGGTATTATTTACTCCTTTAATTATTCTTTCTCTTATCTTTAGGTGAGGTTTTCCATGGCTTCAGTAATTTCCAGTCCCACCTCTTATCCTCCAGTTTTGGTCATTCCTTATTTTGTTGTCATTAGTTTTATTATTATTTAAGTTCTTTTCAAGTTACAATTATATCTTGTTTTTTCTCCCTGAATATTCTCTGTTGCCTCCCAGTGTCCCTTTCTTTCTTCTTTTTTCCTTCTAGTTACTTCTGTCTACACCTGCTCCCTATTAGCTAATTACTCCTCCCTTTGTCTTTGTCTCCCATATATACACCTCCTGTTCATTTATTCATGGCTGAATCCTCGTCATTCTTTACGTTCATAAGTGTCTCCTAATTATTTGGCAATTTGGTTTCTTGTCGATCGGTTCCGGAGTATGGATTCTATATTTTTTCTTCATCATTAAGTTTCGCAAGCAATCCTCCCTGCCTCTTCTACTCTGCATTTGGATCCACAGCAACATCTACCAACCTTGACAAACACTGGTTGATGTAGGACCCCAAGCGGGGTCATGACCCCAAATTTAGAAATCGGTGCACTTGATAGTCTGGTAAATACCCCCACAACTAGCTTTTTTATACCAGTACCATGCAAATAATACATTATTTCTTCATGGTTGAGACTTCATATATATTAAGTGGTCAAATGGTTCTAGAGACTTTTCTCCTTAATATGTTTACTTCAGAGTCTGCAGAGTTTTCAAATAAACAGAGTCAGCATTCCTTTAGAAATAGTCTGGTTCTCTGGAAGTAACATGAGGTGACTCATGATGTAAATGCAACCTCCAGTGAACTCAGAAGCATAACATACAACTAAGTGTTATCATTCAGCTTATAAACGCAAGGGCAAACACAGTCCAGCCTTAACGTCCTCATACAGGAGCACTGAATAATTGGTTGTGTTGATAAGTAGTATATAATTAGTATTTGGTATGTTAAGACTAAAATGGATATTTGCTTTTATTTAAACAACTTCAAATTAGGATTAAAATGATCAGGTTTTTGTTCAGGACCTTTTTTTTTATTCTGTGGAATTGATCACCCAAAAAAAATACTGTTTAAAGTTTCTAAAACCATGCTTTTTTATGTAGGATTGATCAAAGATGAACACATCTGGGTAAATTTATAACAAACATCTTCTACCTAAGTGTCTGGTAACATTTATACCCCCAATTTAAAACTAAATACCCCTAAATTCTTAGTGTGCAAATTTGGGCTTGATCGTTTTATTTACCACAAAAGAACAACAAAAGTCGGTATCCTGAGATAAAACAGCTGATGAGGCCTAAGGATAATTCTCCGTGGTTTGATCGAGCAACAACAGACTGAATCATAACAACCCCTGAGCAGAATCACGCCAGAACACGCTGCAGAGTGGGGCTTTATTGTACTACTGTTGATCCTCCCTTCAGAGCTGCTTCTCTTTTCATGCCTGTAGTGACGCGTGTTATTTGCATAGCAACCAAGCATAGCAAAGCTGTAATTTTCTAAGGAAATGACAGCAGATTCCCTTTGATATTTACCTAATGCAGCATTTTCCTGACGCTGGCAGAGGTTAAGATCAGTGATCTAAGCATCTAGATTATTTGCATGTTAAAAACCAGATTACTCCTGCATGTCACCTCATGTATTTATGTCTAATAATCCTACATCTTTGTAAATGGAGGAAACCTGATCATCATGATTGCTCTGAAACGTATCACTATCACTATATCTCTCATATATGCACCTTGAAATGTGGAGGTTCAATTAGATTTTTGTTTTGATAAACTGGGATTCACAAAATATTTAGACTTTTGACAGATTTCTGTCATGATTATAATGAAAGTCATACCAAGCATAGCTGGCAATTCAGTTTTAACCACCTTTTCAGTAAACAATGCCCAGCCATACAGTTCTGGATTTTGCAATCACTGCAATTCAGCTCTAAATAATCTTTCATATCACATTTATTGTTATTTTAATAAATACCCCATAATAGCTTCATAAACATTATGCTCCATAATCATCCATCCCCATATTTAAGCTTTAATGATGCTTGAAAAAGGTTCAATTTACCTTCCAGTCTTCCAATCTCCTTACGATTGTCTTTGCTGTGCTGGTAGACCTCCTGGATGCTGTCCTCCAAATCTCCAACTTTAGCTATAATTGAAAGGATGATGACCATCAGAGTAAAGCGCAATAAAAGCTTATGGAGCATTACTGGAATTACCTTATCAATGTTTAGAATATTACCATCCAGCCTGGAGATCCGGTCGATTAGCTGGCTGACTTTAACATCCAGGGTGTAATGACCAACGTTCAGCTTGTGGATGGCCTGGTCTATACCAGTCAGTCTGGATACTTTGGAAACATAAGAATAAATAAATAACCCAAACTAAAACAGTTTTACCTTGAATGGAAAATATAAGAATAAAGTATTTGCTTCATTATGCTCAGTTTGAGGACAGCCCATCTACTCATAAGAACACACTGCAGAAAATGTCAATCTTAATAAGTCTTTTTTTCCTAAAATCAATGCATTTTTCTTGAATTGAGGAGGTAAGTGAGACACTTTGCCAATAGAACAAGACAATTTACATTTGGAATAAGAAAAAAACAATTGCATTTTCTTATTTCAAATGAATTTTATCTAATTATCTTATTTTAAGAGTAAAAGTACTCATTCCATTGGAAAATCCTCTTACTTACCTACTCAAATTAAGGGTAAATACACTTAATTTAAGAAATCTTTACTTATTTCTAGATTATTTTTGCAGTGCAGGATTAAGTGATAAATTGTACATATTGTATTCATAGGAAGTGTCATAGTAAACCTCAATCAAATTTATGGTTAAATGCAGAACAGATTGTTAAAATCTCACCTAAAGTCTAAGCCACAAATCCCATTATTTAATTGTTTTTAGTGCCTTGCAAGGTATTATTACTGCTTTTAATATTTTGTCGTATTCCAGCCATCAACATGAATGTATTTAGGGGGGCCTTATTGTGATAGACCTACACATAGTTGTGCATAACAGGAATGAAATGATATATGGTTTTGAAATTGTTTTACCTCTAAAGAGGTAAACATTCGGATTCAGTGCAGCTACAAGCTGTGGGAATTTAATATAAAAGCAAGCCACATGTCTAAGTTTTCTATTAAAGCAATATTGATGTACTTTCCTTCTGTCTGGTCTTTAAGTTGTTTTTGTTTGGGGAAAAAAAAAGAAAAATAGGTTCCAAGGGTGGGATTACTTTTTGCAATCCACTGTGTTATACATGGATAAAAAGGGTGTGCTATATTTTTTTTTTTTTGGACTATATACGCCTTTCTAAATAAAGTATTTGACCCAAAGGTTATCGTAAGGAAGCAGGAAATTACTTACAGACATAGTTGTAGGACTTTTCAAAGTCTGACACCTGACTGGTTGGCTCTGGTTGGCTGGTTGGCTCCGGTTCTGGTTCTGGAAGAATATCAGGAACATCACCTCTGGCCCGCTTCATCTCCAGCAAAGACGCCTGACAAACGCACACAGATTAACAAACAGTAGGATCTCCATGATGCTCCTGCTGTCATCACACCAGACTAGTTAGCAACTAACTGTTTGAAGAATGAATTTAAAATCTAATTTTAGATGCAATGACAAAGATCTGTCTCTAATTCTAAATAATCAGTCTTTTGTGAAATGAGTCAACGAGGGTTCAGGGTTTGACTTTCAGGTTGCTGTTTTATTACATTTCTTTCACTGGATTGTCATAATCTAATTTGTAACGTATTTCTAAAAATGTAAACAAAGAACAACAGAACATCCAGTTTGGGTGTTGGCTAGGGTTACAAAATGTATTAATAATTAATTCATTGCTTGCTAATAATGGTGAGTGTCTAATTTCAGTAACATCTATGAAAATTGCATCACCTGAAACTACAAAAAAAGCTGTTTAATTGCCAAAAGAAGCAGATATGGACATAAAAAAAAATTCTTTTTTCCAACCAAAACCTTGCTGTTGAGATGGAAATATTGAATATTTTATAATTTCACATACAGTAATTGGACAGACTACACATCTTGTGTTTGTTTCTTTTGAAACCAAAGCAGAAAGTTTATTTATTTTATAAAAAAATATTATTTTTTTTAATTATTTGCTTATTTTTACTGTTTATATCATCATTGCAACATTTATCACCTTTCTCATATTTGACTAATTTTGGCTTCTTTATTTGACTCCAGTTGATAAAAACAAGGGGTCTTATATTATTTACCTATATTTCACTTATCTATCTTAAAAAAAAACACATCAAAAGTAAATAATTGAAAGAAAAAAAAGGATTAAATGTTTTCCCAGTAACAGAAATTGTTAGACTGAACATTTCAACTTATTTGACCTGTAGGCAATGGTTAGTAGATGGCTGCTAAATAGAAAATCCTATCTACCCAAAGCCATCTGGCTTTTTGAAGACATGTTGGTTCAATTCTTTGGTTCACCAACCTTTTCATGACTTCATTCTCCAGAGTTAAGTGGTTTAACAAATGGGAAGACTGGTTGTCTTTAAACAGTCAGGTTTGAAATGAGAGGAAAACAATCCAACGTCTAGATAAAGAAATCAGGAGAGACTGGAAAAGCTCTTAGTTACGAGAGAATTTACAAGTAAAGACACATTACTGTCATAACCTATCATATTTCTGAGTCTCTTATTGGCTGATAAGAAGGGGGCGGCTTTTTTTGAAGTCTCAAATACGCTCTGCTACCAGTGCCTGCTTCTTTAAACATGGTCATCTATAATTATTTAGGAATCATTAACAGACGTGACGTCATCTTTCTCAGTTTTCCTACTGCTGCTAAGGTACAAAACATTTCCAGTGTCTTGTCATCTTGATGAATGCTTTATTAACCCAATGCGAAAAAATTACCCCAAAACAGACATGAATTAAGATTACAGAAAGAAAAAAAAGGATACCAAGGTAATACCAACAGTACAGAAAGTTCTGACCTGTGTTGGCGCAGCATCGACCATCCCTATAGGAACACACACAGCCAGAAAGCATAAACACAGGAATGTGTAGAAGGTGGCAGCTGGTCCCATTTTACTCCTTCCAGTTACTCTTCCTCCAGCAGCTATAGCTCTCTATGTACCTCTGAGCTGCACCACACTCTCTCCCTTCCCTTTGCCTCATGGAACAGCAGCTGGAACCTCTTTCCCATTAGATATGTGAATGGGAGGGTGCACACATACACACACACACCCCTCTAGGAGGGGGAAAAAAAGGAGTAAAGGCAGGGATCCAAAAACAAAACTTCCCTGTTGCCTATCAGCAATGCTTCCTCTTCGTTTTCTCCGGACAGGTTTGATTTCCTCTAAACAACAGGAAACCTCTTTGTTTTTGCTTCCATCTTCCATTTCCACGCTTCGTGAGAGCGGTGCGGTTTTCCATGGATCTCAGTCTTGTGGAAACCATATGCATCCCTGGTACAACATCTTTACTGTTGGGGGAAAAATTTTAAAAAACAACCTTTTTCTTTGACGTTCTACCCTAATGAATGGAGGAAAATGGAATAAACTTGAAACTTATTAAACAAAAGCTTAAAGCTGTGAGCCACAAATATAAACGACTGATCCAACACAATGATCTACTATATATATATTTTTTTTAATCACTAGTTTTATATGCGACTAACACAGAAGCCCTGAATGTTTCCAGAGGAAATAAGGATTTCTTTGAGATCTAAACAGCCGTACAAAGACAGAAATAACCTTCAGCTTAGTGAGGAAATTCAGATGGAAAAAATTAAAGCATGGAGAAACATTTGAAATTAGACGGCACAATTGGAGCAAATTCACATTACTGGAGAAAATACTATTAAACAAAAACAAAAGTCCAACTGAGGGATTTATATGTAAAAAAGAAAAAGAAAAACATGCATCTGTATTTATGCATGAAAACACACCAGTATTCTTGAGAGAACAGTGGGGAAATAAACAGTAAGTTTGTTGTTAGCAATGATGGTTATAAAGTCGAACAAAGAGATCAGTGTTATTTAGCATATTTTAGTTCAGAGGTTGTCCAGGATGTTTGGCTGACCAAAGCAGCTGCATGGCCGCTCAGTAGTGGCAGTATGATGATGTGGGACTTTCTGTAAGCATGTTATTATATCAATTTCACTGGATGAAAGTGAAACCATAGTGATGCTTCTTACCTAAAACGTGTCCTTTACGTTTTCCTTTCTTATAGAAAGTAGCTGTGGCTCTTTTGTGTAGAGTCAATGACTGAACCATTGCTGCTACTACCTGAGGGTGGAACTTTTACACTAATTAAACTAAATCTGTACTCCTTGTCTTTTTTTTTTAATGGATGGAGCCATTGACTCTGTGGACTAGGGGTTTTCTTTGCCACAGAAAGTACCCCTGGCCCCGTGGTTCTGAATTTAGCTCTTTTCTCTAAACCAAATTACTGACTGAACCATTGCCGCCTCTCACGTATACATAGTCTGTGTCCAGGTTTCTATAGAAAGTTCTCTCGGTTCTTTTCCTATGTGGATAGATGTTAGTTTTCTAGATTGTATTTGTTGTTTTTTTTTCTTATTCAGAGAAAGTACTTCTAGGTCTAGATGTTTATGACAAATCCATTTTGTTAATGGACAGAGTCATCAATTGCCGTTATCAACTTCTTGTCTTTGTTTCCAATTGAAAGTAGCCCTGGTTCTTTACTTTGGTGATTATCTGTGTCCTATTTGTGTGATGTTGCTGTGTAACTATTGGTGTTGTCAACTATAAATACTCCAAATCAAAAGCAGGTTGTTCTTTATACTGGTCTGAGTCTTGCTCTTATTTTTAAGTGGCAAAAAAAAAAATATGGACTTGAATTTCCTGATTTTTTTAGTTACAGTTACAACATTCAGGATTTCTGGGTTTTTTTTTAGGCCTTTTAGGTTCCAGATGGTGCAAATCATTTGTTTTAATCAGCGGAAAGAATTTTGTAAACCAAACGTTAACCTTGAAATATTACACTTCTGCCGCCGGTGTTCTTTCAGGCTTCAACCTTTACTGACCAATTTGACCAAAACTGATAAAAACACATTTTCTCTCACAAACTCTATTTAATTACGTGACATACCAGACAAGTGTGCAATTCCTTCTTAATGAAATGAACAGAAATACGGGCGTTAAGTAATTTCAGGAAACAACAGAAGTCAAACAGAGCAGTGTTATGTAAGAGGCTGTGCGTCTGCTTGTGTGTGTGTATTTGTTTGAGGTTGTAGCAGGAGGTATGCCAGTTAAAGGGCCTGAAGAATCCAGCAGAGTTTCCAAAGAAGCAACTGAGGCAGAGCCGGGGGATGTGGAGACTGGGAGTGGTGCCAGCAGCGGCTCAGGCTCTGAGGGTCAGATGTGTTGGAGTCTGCAGGATGTCTGCTCCTACACAGCTGTTCCAGTAACATCAGAAATACCAGGAACGTTTCCAGACTTCAGCCTGGACTAAAAATTAAATGCGTCTATTTAAATTCTAATTAGCCGAAGTGCACAAACCAAACATTTATGCAATTCGAATATTGACCATGATTTTTTTACAGTGTTAGTTTAGGGGAAAAAAATTGTGGTTCGTATATTTAAAAACATATGCTCTTATTTGGAATATTTTTTTGTTGTGGGATATTCTCTCAGTATTCTGGGATTCTTGATGGTTCGTCTAATTATGAGTTATGGAAAGGGTCGGCTCAGGACACATGAAACTGAACCTCAAATACTTTTTATGAGCCAAGTAACAGTTTCCATTTTTTTCTTTAGGAGAATCACTTCTGGTTCTCTTTCAGACATACCGGTAATGTCCTGTAAGGTGCAAACATTTAAACTGAGCCAATGCCTCTGAAATGGCCAGCAATCATTTCCATTCAGCAAAAATATTAAGGATATGCCAAAATACTTTCTGAGCACAAAGCAGCCATTCAGGCCACCGAAGAGCTGGGTGGTTCTGCAGGGGAGGAAGCTGACCTGAGCAGAGGTGCCTCAGCTCACTAAGAGAGGATGCAACACAAACATACAGTATAGGAATTATATACAGTTGTTAGATATTTGAGGTCAGACTCTGATTTATGATATTTGGGTGGATTACTTATACTGTAAATCATTTTGACCACACTCAGCCTTTTTTGGTGATTTGCTTTAAGCTCCCCCTGGATGAAGAAGCAACTCCTTATTTCTCTAAGGTTAAGTCTGGCTAACCTAGGGAGGAAATTCATTTTGGCTCCCTATATCCAGAACTATGATTTATACAGTTGAGGAATTAGATGATGCTTTGCGTTTTGGCTCAGTCTTTTCTGCACCTTAACAGAGTTGAGATAAAGCTCCAAGTAGGAGTTAGAAACTAAATCCTAACTGAGAGGGGGCAGGCCACCTTTTGCTGTCAGGCTAAGAGGAACTGCCTCTAATTCTTATCTTTAAAACATAAGATTTCTTACATAAAGGAGTTGTTTCTAATGTATAAGCATGTTCAAGTAAACTGAACTTCAGCCTGCTCCTTAACCTTTAGTTTACTTCTTCCCTGTCCTCATAACTCCCATCACCAATCAAACTAAACTTGGTTCTTCTTAAAGATTTCTTGCTGTTTAAAGGAAGTGTTTCCTTTCAGCTGTCGCCCTATGCTTGCTCAGGATAACTGAATGTAATAAAGTTCGATTATAGTTAGTAACCTGAATAGGATGGACCGTCATGGTGAACATTTAGATGAAATATGTTGTGAACTGGTGCCTTTTGAAGAGAGTAGTGTCCAAAAACGCTAACTTTAATCTTTATTTTGTATTCTTTCTTGATTTAAATAACAATAATAACCTTAATATTGCAGGGTAACAAAGACAAACAGGACAAACAACCATTCACTCACACACACACACTCAAACCTGAGGAGAAACTAGAGAAGCCATTTAACCTAGCAGTCATGTTTGTGGACTGTGGGAGGAAGCTGGAGTACCCGGCGAAAACCCACTAATGCACAGTGAAACATGCTAACAAGAGAGACCCCGAGCCGGGAATGGAACCTGGAACCTTCTTGCTGCAAGGCAGCAGTGCTACACACTGCGCCACTTTTAAACAAGGTCATTGGTCTGGAGGCTGTTTTTCATGAAATACTAAAAAATAAGGATAAAAACCACAATTCTTAAAAGCAAGCTTTTAGCTACTTTCAAAACAACTGCATTTAAATGTCTGAACTCAGTCCTGGACTTAGAAAAACCATGAGATGAGATAAATTAGTGTTTCCTATCCCTGCCAATCAGGGATCCTCAACGTTCTCAATGTTTTAGATATGTCTTTTCTGCAGGCTTTCAGTTCCTGCAGTGACATTCATGTAAGTCAAGTAAATGGCAGTTAAGGGGAAAACCCAATGGAGCCCCTTTCGTGAGTTGAGCAGGTAAGACAATTTACCAATGCAATATGATCTAAAAACAACTCCATCAAGGCAAAATCCCTTTCCATTTGTTCATCCTATTTACCTGGAGGGCAAATAGATTTATTATTAGATCAGTTTTCGCAGTGTTAGAGGTAGAACAACGCAGATTATTTTTCTAGTCCTAAAAAAACAACTTTAAATTTTCCTAAGTGTTGTTAGAATACAGAGGAGTCTAGTCGTTCTGTCCCTTCCCACAGCATAGAATATGCATGAAAGCAGCACTGCTATAAATACTCTGCAGATCAGCTGCCTTTTACCAGAAGGGAAAAGATTGAGGCCAAATCTAAGCTTCCTTATTTAACTAAAATAAATCTAATATCTCTGTCATCTGGCTTCCGGTTTTCTTACAGCTTATTTTAGATTTGAAAGTACAACTCAGGATAAAAAGTCATATAGCTAGAAAGTTCATTCAAATAATTTGGATCCTCAGGAGAATGTTGGTTGTTATGGATATTTTTTCTCCAAAGGATTTTCATTACAATTCCATCCAATTAAAAACATATTATTAGACTTTAAAGTTTTATATTTTAAGATCAGGAAATCCCAAAAAAATCTTGATATATGAAACATTTCTGTCTGGAACCTCACTCTCTGACATGTGGCTGTCTTGTTTACATACCGTGACTTTAGACATTAAACTATTAGGACTTAAAAGCTTCCATGAAACAAAACAAATGTTAATACCCAGCCTCTAAACAGACTTAAAGACATAAAAAAGTTTAAGATTTAATTTATTTTATTCATTCCAATTCCATAACTCACGTGAGCTCACTGTACACGTAAAGCTGAGGATAAAATTAGCAGATAAATATAAAACTAGTTAAAATAGTACTCTAGATATTTAGTCTATCATAAACACTACAAATCACCGTACTAGTGTTGGTTTACTGACATGGAAAGGTTTAAATGCACATAATCTCTTTTAAAAAAACAAAAGGCGTAGATGGAATGATGCAATGTAGTGGTGTTGGAGCAAGAGATGTCTAATCTTTAAATTTTTTCAGCTACCTTAAAAATATAAAGATTCTATTGGACTTAAAACTAAATCTAATCATGGTTCATTTTCACCATTTAAACATTTTTTTTTTCAATTTCTTAAAAATCCCTTAAATAACAGAATTCCTTATTAGACAATGTGTGCAGAATTGCAGCCTTAAAAACAGCTTTAACACTTCAAGGTTAACACATCAGAAACATATACAGTTATAAAACAAAAGCATTTAAGACAAAATCAAATTAAAAACAAAACAAAGTAGGGCTGGATGATAATTTAATAACAATATATATCGATCGATAGACATGTGGCACACTGGAACAAAAGAGGGTAACATCCGAGCCCTACCTCAGCCTCTCAATTCAATACATAGACAAAGAAAGGAACCTGAGTTCATTTTTAGTAACATAACTCAGGTCTATTAAGTTATTTTTATTTAAACAAAATGCAGTTAGCAATACCATTAAATGGTAAGAGCTCACTTAAAATATGGTTTTATATCTTTTACGTAATTATCGATCAACATGCATTTTTTTTTTAATCGATATGCTTTTTTTCTATATCATCCAGCCCTACCCCAAATGCAATATAAAGCTTTTGTAGTAAAGAAGGACATGCTTTTAGTGTTTTGGGACATAGTGTCTGTAGGCAGTTCAGTGATCATGCATCCAGACTTGTAACATACCAAGAGGAAAACAAGGAAAGATGCTCTTCTGCTTTGGAAAAAAGGTCAAAAAGCCAAAAATACACAAGTGGTGAAATAATCTCTTAAGCTACACAGAATGATAACAGGAACATTAAAGAGGTTGTCTCTTAAATCTAGAAGTGAACGCCTGTAGTCATGGCGGTGTGGTCCATTTCCAAAATAATGATGAGGATGCTTCATTCAGTGCTGCGACTGGTCTGTGTTTGGGTTGTTTTTTTTTTACCAGTTGTCCAAGAAGTCAAATCCAGTCTTCAGGATGCTGTTGCTTGTGTTAAACTGTGAATAGAGCATTTTAACCATTAGTGTTGTTACTCTACTGTTATGAACGTATTGTGTCTTGTCAGGATTCATGCTTATTTAACCCGTTTCAGGTCTCACCTGGGCAAAGGTGGGGCTCATGTCCAAAGGAGGAGAACTTTCCTCCGCTTTCTCCTTCTCTGCAGCTGTGGAGGACTTAGACGGCTTGGATATGGGATTGGAGGAAAAGATTTCATCCGGGGTGTTGCTGACAGACGGCAGGGTGCTCTGAGATCTCTCCCAAACTGCAACTGTAGAGGAGTCACTGATGGGCGGTGCTGGTGTGGGTGCGATGGAGATGGATGCAGGTGTTGCACTGACAGCCACTGGGCCGGGGGGCTGTGGGGCAGGAGGCTTGGGCGCCCGATGTTTGATGGACTTGGCAGGAGCTGGAGGGTGGAACTCAGCGATTTCAGGCTCCTTTGAGATGGTGGAGCTCTCCTGAATAATAAAAAAAACATTTACACAAATATTTATATATATATATATATAAACACTTCTACGGTATTTATTGGTGTTTACCTGTCGGAGGTAGGAAGGGAGGGGTTTCTCTCCCTTTTCCAGCGATTTGATCTGACTCGGGGTCAGGGACTGGAAGTCAGCTTTTTCCCCTTCCAGCCTCGACCTTTCAGCACTGATCTTCCAGAAGGACGACTCTTCCTCTGGCCTTCGCCCCTCACTGGCAGATACCTTCCGAATCAAATCAAGTAAAAAACAATCAGATTAAAAGCAGTGACTATTCCATCAAAAACCGTGCTTCCCAAGAAAAAAAAAAAATGCAAATTAAAATTTCTGCACAGGTTATGAAAACAAAAAAATCAGACAGTACCTTAGCTCCTGCTGTACTCTTTCCAAGCTGATTGGAATGAGGAACTTTTGCATTTTTGGAGTCAGCCTGTGAGGAAGAGGTCACCTGATCTGCTGAACCTGACATCAAACTGAACTCCATCTGACTCTGGAAAACAAATTGGTTTATAATAGAACCATTTTTCAGGAATATACAATAACATCTATGAATAAAATATACTGCAAGGATGCAAATAAAGGTAGCCATGTGTATGTTATCCGTTAATGAAATGTTACCTTTGTCTCCCACGAGAAAGGGGCAGAGTGCTCATCCTGCCAAGTGATATCCTATAAGAAAAATGAAAACCTTACTAATGAAAGCTGTAATATAAGCAACTACAACAGTTTGTTTTATACCAATCAGCAACATGAGAGAAGATGTCTGGTAATAGAATGAAAACCAAAACTAAAAATATCTGTATTGATATTTGTTTTTATCTGGTGCTGTACACGTATAACGATTTTAAACTATTTACTTGTTTTTAGTCCACTCTTCAATTCATATAGCTTATGTGTATATGTATAAAATGTGTACAGAAATAATTTTGTGATTTCTGCCATCAAGGAGCTGAACAAGTTGTTAATGGTCTTTTCTGCTTCTCTTCCCTTGATGAAGTGAATCTGCTGCTGTGTCTGCAATTAACTCTTTTATAATTGTATTTTAATTTATTTTTATTACATTGTTGTGTGTGAGCAAGCCAAAGGCAAATTTCTGCCATTATTGTGTATGGTAGACAACGTTTTTTTCTATTTCTATTGTATTTTCTCAGACTGTTACATAATGATATGAAAGACTCAGACACAAGCGATGTATGTCTACTCTGGAAATTATGATTATGTATTTTGATACTTTTTATTAAAATATGTATACAATTTTTACACTTTAACAGGAGAGACACAGATGTTACCAAAACAAAGTTACAAATATTTGCTTTGGAAATCCTGAAAATAACATTGTATAGTGTGCTTTTAATTGTTTTTCTTTTAAATTTTAACATTTCCTTTTCGAATCTCAGGAAAAAAAAAAAAATCATGCCTTTAAAATCATTACTTACAAAATAAACATTACAAAGAAATTATTCTATTATGGTGGGGAAGTGGAAATAGATGCTAACCAGAATAGGTACAGTTAATTAAATGACTATAAAAGTACTTTTTAACAGCTGCATAGTGTTGTCTTTTCCGAATAGTGCTTTTGTCACTTCTAACGTTTTTTTGTTGTTATAATTTGTAATGTATGTAGCTGTTTCATTTTCTGATATTATTGTATTCTACAAACCAAGCGTATCCCGATCGTAAGCCAATTCTTTACGTTAGTTACGTTAACAAAGCTGTTGTGACGTTTAGCTACGTAATTTACGTCTACGTGGCTATTGTTAGCAACAAGACCAAATAGAGCATACAACCTTTCTATAAAAACTCAAATAACTTTTAAATACCTCTTCACCAAAGTGGACAATCTTCTGACCGGTCTGGAGAAGCAGTTTAGGGTAACAGACCACCTCCTCTCGGTCCACTTTATGCATAGCGTATCTGCCTCTGATATGAGGGTCCATCATGCTGTTATCTATGGCGGTGTCTTGCTCCTGAGGGGTCATTTTCTCCCAGGAAGGGCCGTACTCGGCTTTTATTTTCTCCCGCTCCTGCATTATCTTGTTTGCCATGGAGTTTATGGAGGAAAAGTACTCGAATTTCTTCTTCTCCATCCTGTGGGCGTCGAGGCCCGCCATAGTAGCGGCGGCCATCTTTGACTACTACCAGCTGTTGAGCGTTTCTTGTTTTGTGAGGAAACCGGAAACTGGTACAAGGAGGCGACATAAGCCCAATGTGCGCATTAATGGCGCCACCTACTGGTGGGTTGCTTATATTGCAATTACACAATAAAAAAAAACCCCCAAAAAAACAATGTAAAGGTTGGGCCTTTAAAGATTGTGCAATGTAAAGGTTGGGCCTTTATAGTGCACTTCTCAAAATTGCGTGACACTTTTCAAACAATTTGATGTGGATGACAATGCATTATTTACTATAATATGACCAACCTGGGTTGCAAATGCCAACTCTTTCTCTATTGGAGTGAGACTAAAACTTTTCAGATGAATCCTACTCCATGTAGTGTTTTAAAAAAAGTTTTTCCCAGTGTTATTTGTATTAGAGGAAACACCTCTGTATTATTGCTATTTTAATTTTCCCCTTTATTTAGCTCATGAGGTTGTTTTCTGGTTTTGCTGACCTGGTGCTACACTGGGGTTACCTCGGTTATGTTGCAGGTGAAGATTCTCAGTCATCTAGGTCATATTCTTTCCAAAAAGTTAAAAAACAAGCTACTGGAATTTGTTGTCCCATCCAGGAAGTTTTTCAATTCAAAATGTCAGAATTAACAATGAGATCCAAGCTTAATTGAGAAGCCCCAACAAAGTCTTGTTTTGGTTTAGAGAACATGCAAATTGGACTTGAGGAACGGGTCCACCCCTTTGGAATGGGGGTCATTTGGGTTCTTTGTTAGCCTGCAATACCCAATACTGGTCTAAGCCTCTGAAAGGGGGGTCTTTAGGGGAATTGTTGGCCTGGCTGACCAGACAAGATGTTTTGGTCCCTTGCATGGGGGTGGGAGTTGAGATGATAGCTGGGAAGGAATCAACTCTATCACTGTGTTGTAGGTTTTTGAGAGCTGAAACTTAAGTCCACCCCCCTCAGTTATGTTTTTCTGTATTATAGGACCTTAAGTTTTAAAATGTTGTAATATAAAATTTACAATAATTTTTTTCCACCTGCTGCTTCCAACATTTCCATTACTTTTTGTACATCTGAATATTGATGTTATGTTTGGTAATCTGCACCTTTTTTTAAGTAGTAGAATCTCTGGTGCAACAACTGCTAGTTGGAAAACAAAAACAACACACTCCTCGGCTTCAATATGATCTATGTTCAAATATCTCATATTTCTAGTGTTTTTTAATATATATAATATATATCAGATCAGTCATGTCCCTTAGGTAGCAGAAAGGGCCCATTATCAAGTTGTTCTCACATCGCTAGGGGGACAAATTCGGGCTAAAAATAAAACCCTACAACATTATGCTCCTTCTGAAAAAAATGTGCATATGGCAAAATACAGTTGGATATGTATGGTTCTCTTGGCATGTGTGATTTATTGCTCAAGTAAACATGTTTTCCCTCCTCCAGAACCACAGTACATCCAATGCATTCAAAAGCAGTTGGTTATAGTAACACATTCATGGAAATTTTTTGTGAGATTTTTGTAAGCAACCTTTATAATGTGAGCCTAAAAGCCTTGAATCATCAACTGATATCTGGTCTCACAGCGAAACCATTTCTTTCTCAAATTCCCGCTTGTTCTTGATCTCATATCAAGCATTGAACTGTTGCATTCCTGGAGGAGCAACTTTGGCCGTCATTGAAAGCTGTCAAAGCTGTCAACTAAAATTTCTAGTGAGTTTAAAAGTGTTCAGGTGTACAGCTAAAGAAGGCATACCAGATAAAATTTATATTTTCTAAAGCTCAAAATCACCTGGATGTTATTTATTTTACCCAAGAGAAAATCCAACAAAGACCCGAGGCAGGACTTGATGCAGTGGCCGTTCTAGATCAGATTTACTATGGAGGCAGGATGGGTAAAGTGATTTTTCATGGTGGAGGAAAGCATAAAGAGGGGCCAATATTTCATTGTTAAAAGTCATAGCTACCATTTTTTCATCAAAACTATCAATAAATAAATACACAAAATGTGTGGAGTGGTACAGCATAAAATTACTATTTTAATCAAAAAGGAAATGTAGTAGCATACATTTTTTAAATTTGTGAAAGTTTAAAATATATAAATGTTTACTTGTTGTAATGCCAAAATCGACACAAAATAATTCTGCGCCAAGAGGAATAATAGTTTGAAGTGATGTGAGGCAGAGACATGGCTTCTTCTCACTTGCCCCATTTACATTACCCCTCTGAAACCGATCCGTATCGAGTTCAGACCGAGCTTGGACCAGTTAACCGTGCCGAGCTTGGTTCTTACAACCATTTACACATCACGTTTGCACAGTTCTTCGTCTCCTATTGATGGTCCACAATTCTGCAGCTCTCATAGCAGCCAAAAATGGTGGCCATTTATTGTTAAGAGGCTGAGAAGAAGTTCATGTTGCAAACAGGTGAAGAGATCTGTGAATTGCAAAACCAGACATGCCAAAAAACCCACAAAATGTCAGAGTCATGGTTTGTTAGTTCCTGTTTTTCTTGGTTTTCCATTTGTTGTCCTCTGCTGCCCTCTTGTGTCCTCTTTCCCTTGCTCTGTTTTCTGTTCTGCCCTCACCTGTTTTCAATTCCCTCGTTAGCCCTCTCTTTGTCTCTGTCCCCTTTAAAAGCCCTCCCTCTTCAGTTCCTGTTTGCTGGATCCTCGTCTAACGTCTGTCTGCTTTCCTCGTCTCTCCCTGGCTCCTAGAGTTTTGGTTAACCCCTGATGTCTCCTTGGTTCTGGTGCGTTTGTTATTTTCTGTTGGATTTTGATTCCTGCCTCAGTTCCTGTGAACCTTAATAAACCCACTTAAATTTACCTCTGCCTACTGGCCTCTGCATTTGAGTCCTCCAAACCAACACCGTTTCATGACACAAAATCAGTCAGCTGACTGTAAAAAGGAGTTGACGCTGTCTGCTCATGCACTCTTTGTTATCAGAGAACGAAGCCACATCTGAACCGTGCCCAGCCCTGCTGTCGAACTAGTACTAGATTTAATGCGGTTGTGTCTGGCACAGTCCAGTTTAGTTGCGTTCCATTTACACTCAACAGTTATCCCGGTTACCGTGCTCCGACTGTTCTCAGCACAGTTTCATGAGGATAGTGTAAACGGGGCTTTAGATACATTTCTCAGATTCAAGCCACCCCAGAAAAGAAGCAACCCTATGGTGAACATCGGCCAAGCTTTTGAGCATTGATGCTGACTTAAAGAAGTAAAGGAGCTAAGAAGCCCGGCAGAGGTTGCTGCTTAGTTATCAACATCTTAATTTTCAAGTCATCATAAAAGTAAAGCCAAGGTAAGGATAAAAAATTAAAGTCATTCATTACAGTTCAAGTGCCAGTGGGTGTAATCATTAGAAGTTTATTCAGTGTTATGTCTTGTGTAGAGGGGCCATAACAAGGGACAGGATTAACTCTATAGGGGCACTAGCCCCTGTTGATCCTCGTCTAGAACCGCCCATGACCTCATGCATCATCCTATACCCGATTTTTAACCAAAAACAAACTATAAAAATTAACCAAAAAAAGTGAAGTACAATTTCCACGCAGTTTATTTGAGTAGATTTACTAAAATTTTATTAGTGAAGTATACCTAACTGCAATAGCTATTAGATTAAGTCTAATTATTACAAAAATGATCCCTGTAAAAAGGCTGGGATTGAATCCATAAAATGCAGCCATGTTACAAACTGCTGCACCCCTTAGGCCACATTTCAGAACTCCTCTGTTATTCACTCTGCTTAGCCAACAGGGCGGCTCAAGGAGGGTTAATGAGACAACAATAGCTCCTTACTCACAACCATGGACGTGCCAAACTTCTCGTTTGTTTGCCAAACTGTTCTTCTTTCTCTTCATTGCTTTAGCTAAATACATGGAGACGGATTGTACTGTTATGAGAAGCAGCTTGTGTTAAAAAGTTTGAAGTTTGTAATGATTATTTTTGTAGAAACAATATTGTTCATATATGGAATTTAGGGACCATTTTTGGTTTGAATTATTCATCACTTCGATTTAGAGACTCTGCTTAAAAAAACAAAAAGAAAACAAAATTAGAATAGCCACAAAATATCTTCAGAACCAGCATTAGAAGAAGAGAGCCTGATGTTGGATATAAAAGGAGTAAAATACATTCCAGCTCTGTGGAAGTAAACAAGGTCGGAGTCTAAAGTTTTACATACAGTAATAAAATGGTTTATTGCACCAAAATGTGCTCTAAAATTCACATTTACACTTGTGGTGTTCTACATGTATGCAACTTATCTCCAAATAAAAGACACATTTTTTTCTGTTTTGCTATAGAAAAAGGACAATAGTTTAACTAAACTTATAATAGTTCAACTAAAATGACTTGTGTGTTTAAGTGTTGAAACCTGCCTCTTAAACTTTAAATATAAAAGATAAAACACTTGCACATGCTTTTAGATTAATTTTGAAACAATGTGATTCTTTGTTAGTAATTTTTGTACAGCCTATAGTTTTTTTTTACAATAACATCTAACCTCTACTGGTTACTGGTTTAATCTGGTTTGGGATATGTGGGAGCAAGCTTTAGACACAGGCATGAGTTAAGGAGTCAAATTCTGAATCATATTTTGATAATTAGAGGGAAAGTACAGAAATGCAGAAACCAGAAAGGTCTTGACTCATAATTTATTTCTTAATACATTTCTTCTATTTAAGGTTATCTTTCAGCAGTCCAAGGCTTTTTAGTGGACAGTAAAAAAATAAAAAAATAACTTGGAAAAGGGCAGGACCTCATGTTGCTAAAGAAAGAAAAACTGACACAGAGGAAATTGATCATAGTGATTAAATATACAAAGAGGCTTCTTCTTTCAGTATTATTTATTTTGTTCATTTTTAAAACCACTTGAGTTTGACCGAAAGGTCATCGAGGAACAAAAAGGCTTTTACTAAAGCTTTAACGAGCCACTTTAAAGTGATGTTCCTCAAAAGGAAAGGAAATTAACATATAGGATATTTCTAAATTGAAATATTATAGTTGCAGTATCATGCTCTGGGATTAATTTATTTAGATAGAACTAAACTCATTGACAAGGTAGTATTAAGGTTCAATAATCCAGGTCCATACATCCAAATTCAATGTAAAACTACTTCATTGATCTCAACAGAAAGTTTAATAAATGAATAAATAAAATGTATATGTATGCGTCTTACAGAGCCACACCTTGGTTATCCAGGCTGTGTGCTCATTGTCATGTTGGAAGAGCCAGCCTCGACCCATCATGATCTAACTGAGGGAAGGAGGTTGTTTCCCAAAATCTGCACATACAGTGCAAAACCCTGTTCCATGTGCAGAAAAACACCCCCAAAGCATGACGCTACCACCCCCATGCTTCACAGTAGTGATGGTGATCTTGGGATGGTGCTCATCCTTCTTCTTCCTCCAAACACATTTAGTGGAATTATGACCAAAAAGTTCTATTTTGGTCTCATCTGACCACATGACTCCTTGATTTCAAACCATGTGTCTTAGTGTATTACTAACAGTAACCTTGGAAACGGTGGTCCCAGCTCTTTTCAGGTCATTGACCAGCTCCTCCCGTGTATTTCTGGGCTGATTTCTCATCTCTCTTTGGATCATTGAGACCCATGCGGGGAGAACTATCATGGAGCCTCATTCGGATGGAGATTGACAGTCATGTTTAGCTTCTTCCATTTTCTAATGATTGCTCCAACAGTGGATCTTCTTTCACAAAGCTGCTTTGGCAATTTCCCCGTAGCCGTTTCCAGCCTTATGGAGGTGTACAATTTTTTCTCTAGTGTCTTTGGACTGCTCTTTGGTCATGGCCATGTTATTAATTGGATTCTTACTGATTGTATGGGATGGACAGCTGTCTTTTTGCAGCTAACGACCTGAAACGGGTGCATCTAATTCAGGATAACAAATGGAGTGGAGGCGGATATTTTGAAATCAGACTAATAGATGTGAAATCTAGCTGACAGACAGGTGTTTTAATACTTAAAGGAATAGTACACCCAAAACATGATTAGCCTTCATTTTCTACTCACCCCCATGCTGAACAACACTCTGGAGTACTTTTTTGATATCTCAAATGCATCTGGAGATCTGGGAGGCTTCTTGCTGTCTGCTGACATTTAAATAATGGAGGTCTATGGCGCCCGAGACAGAAAGGTCCATAAAAGTCCACAAAAAACGTGTCAATATTCCTCCATACTGCTCGTTCAATGTATTCCAAGTGTCCTGAGTGGGTAGCATCCAGAATTTACTCGAAACTAAGTCATTTAGAATGTTTTTAGAGCATAAACAGTAGTGTATAGGATTTCTTGAAAGCGCGCGCCGGCGAGTGCATGACGCTACGGAAACCACGGCAGACCAAACCAGATGAAAGTGCGCATTCAGCTCGGCAAAGAACTCATGCTCTTCCTCAACACTGAAGTCCTCAGACATTTTTCTTTCGTTGTTTCTTTCTTTGCACAGGTAAACAGCACATTTCTTCTTCTACGCTTGCATTATCGGCAGAGCAGACGCTGAATGCGCACTTTCATCTGGTTTGGTCTGCCGGCTTCCGTAGCGTCATGAACGCGCCGGTGCGCGCTTTCAGGAAATCCTATACACTACTGTTTATGCTCTAAAAACATTCTAAATGACTTCGTTTCGAGTAAATTCTGGATGCTACCCACTCAGGACACTTGGAATACATTGAACGAGCAGTATGGAGGAATACTGACACATTTTTTGTGGACTTTTATGGACCTTTCTGTCTCGGGCACCATAGACCTCCATTATTTGAATGTCAGCAGACAGCAAGAAGCCTCCCAGATCTCCAGATGCATTTGAGATATCAAAAAAGTACTCCAGAGTGTTGTTCAGCATGGGGGTGAGTAGAAAATGAAGGCTAATCATGTTTTGGGTGTACTATTCCTTTAATTTCCTCACTTTATGTAATAAAATAAATCAATAAACAAATTCATGACAATGACATTTCTTAACCAGAAACAGGTTGAAATATATTTATTGGAGCTATTTATTCTTTTTTTGTACATTTTGTTAGGTTTATCAGGTTATTAGTAAGACTGATAAAAGACCAGCAGGCAATGGGGGGACCACTTTGTTTTGTTTTTAACAGAGCAGGAAAATAACAGGAACAATGAAGAAAAGGGTATGATTTGTTGTTAGCGAAACTGGATTAAAATCAAACAAACAGTAGATTTCAGGTTTTGCTATTGGTCTTCTTTTGCCTGTTTATTATAAAATATAGCCATAGTGCAGCAGTGGCTCTTTGATCTTGGATGTTTCATGTTTGGTTTGAAGAAAAAAATTAACATCTGGCTTGTCATCCTAGTTCTTTAACCAGATTGTGTCTTATTTTCATATCTACTGTTTCTGTCTTCAAATTTTATTTCATGAAAAGGTTTCTAATTAGCTGATGGAGGAGTAGCTGTATATGTGAGAGCCCTGCAAATAGGATCATAATCAGGTATTCACATATTAAATCAATCATGTACTATTCAATTAAATCCACTTGAAACAAAAAATAAAATCATTGTTAAAAAGTCTTTTGAATTTTATTAAAACAGTTGATGTGTTTCCTATTTCCCAACTTGTATATGTTTGTATTAAATGTCTCATTAGACATTTTTACTTAAAGAAAAAAAGTTTATTTATTGTGTTTGGAGAAATCCTATTTCATGGTATTCATTTATTATTTGTACTGTTATTTTTGACAACTAGTAAATAAAAAGTTTTGGACACAGTAATGAGGTCAGTTAGCCTTCTAGAAAATTTTATTTTATTTTACAAAATGGTATACAAAATCAAACACTTTGTTTTGAATTATTATAATGATCTTAAAGAAAAAAAAACAGCTGATAAAAACAGAAATCAAATAGATTTACTGTAAATTTATAATCAGATATAAAAAAGGGGCTCGCAAGTTTATTCAGACAACAAAAAGTGTTAACGTGTTAACAGGTAAACCACAGATTACACCAGGCTGTCCTTTAGAACCTCAGAACTCCAGAGTTTGAACAGACTGGATCAGAGTCCGGTGCTGCAGGTTCCAGCAGAGGAGCTGTGATCCAGCTACATATATGTACAAAACGCAAAACAAGTAAAACCATTTAAAAAGGCATTTGCTCTCCATAATTTATTTATGTGACATCAAGGCTAATGGATATTTGTTATTTTTGTTCTATATTAAACAAGTTTAACTGGAAAATGTACATCATATAATCATATAAATATGTTTAGGAATTGAACACCATATAACAACTCAGTTCTCTGTAACTAATCGTACATTTTGTCTGACAAATTCAACCTTTGTAGTCACTGCGTTATCGGCCCCTGCTGACAGTATGGCTGCAGATGTTCCCTCAGATCTGCTTAATATCGTGATTCAGGCCGTGCTGGAGTCATGGCGGCTGAGCTTCTCATTTTTCATCATGCTGTCGGTGGTGAAACGGGGATGGATGGCGATGGCTGTCGTCGGCACCGTTTTCGCCCTCCGCCTGGAAGATCTGGAACATGCAAGGTAGAAGATCTCCACCACATTTAGAACCACGGAGACGCAGGACACGACCAGCATGAAGATGATGAAGATGGATTTCTCTGTGGGCCGGGACATGAAGCACTCTACGGTGAAGGGACATGGGGCCCGGGAGCAGACGATCTGAGGATCCATGATGAACCCGTACAGGTAATACTGCCCCACAATGAAGCCGATCTCCATCACGATTCTGAAGAAGATAGAGGTCATGTAGTTTCCCAGCAGGTCGCCCTTTATCTGCACTTTGCCCTTTTCATCAGAGTATTTGGGTCCTTTCAAATTCCCCTCGTTTGGGTGGGTTTCTAAATACTCTCTTAATTTCTTCTCTTTGTGGAGGACGTGAAACACATGACCAAGGTAGATCAGTGATGGCGTGGAAACAAAGATGATCTGGAGGACCCAGAAGCGTATGTGGGAGATGGGAAAAGCGTGGTCGTAACAGACGTTCTTACAACCGGGCTGCTTGGTGTTACAGACCATTTTGGACTGTTCATCCCCCCAAACCTGCAATGTTTAAATACAAAATGTGTTACTTCTCTGAGATGTGAAACAGAATAATGATCAGTACACAGGAACTCCATTAAAGCTAACGAAAAATTCACATTTATTCCCTTCTGCAACCATTAACTGTGATGGATTTTATTGGGCCTTTATGTCATGAACCAAAATGCATATCATTCTGAACAGAAAGAAAAATGCCAAAATACAAAAAAAACAATAATGTCAAGAGGTACCATGGATATGTTTTCAAAACCTTTTACTTAAATACCTCTAAAGAAATTAAAGTGCAATCAACTACCTTCAAATAAGAGAAAAATAAATGGAAGTATATGCAAAAATTTTTTCTCCTGACTTTTCACTAGACGAAGAACAAAATCTTCCCCACAGGAGAACAGAGCCACTGCTTTGTCTCCACAGGCATTTGGCCGTTGTTTAATCAATTGGAATCAGAGTAGAGGCAGGTCTACAAAAGGTAGATTTTCCTTTTTTCATATTAGTATAGTACAAAAAAGGTGTAGGATTTAAGAATATGTATCAGTTTGTGTTGGTCACTTATATCAAATATTAAAGGCATGCATCAAGGTTTGTGGTTCAACAAATGTAAATGGTAAAAATACATTTGAAGGAACTGTATATTCTGCAGGTTATCAATGTTTTTAAATGCTGCTCTGATAGAACAATGACTCGGGTAGAGTAGAAACCCTATGACTTAATGCGAGATTTAATTTACCTTTAAGGTCTTTTTTAAAAGTATTTTTGAATAACAATAAAGATTTGAAGTTAGAATAAACTAAACCATTAATAGGTAAAAATTAGTCATTGTGCAAACAGCTTTAACCAAAAATGCATTAAGAAAAAACAAGACATTAAGATCATGAGCAAATTTCATTTTAGCTCTTTTTTTTTTGCCTGCCCTTTAAATACTGTCACTTACTTACTTGAATACTTACAGAAAGCTGCTAGAGGGCGCTATTTTAGTGTCTGAAATGTGCACAAGTTTGCAATGTTGTCTCCGAAACGTGACATGTTTTATAGTGGAGAAATCAGATAACATTTAAAACAGTAAAAACGTGACAGTTTATAGTCTGACCTTCTCAGCTCCTGCTCCAAGCACCATGATCCTGAAGACGAAAAGCACACTGAGCCAGACCTTCCCCACCACAGTGGAGTGTTCCTGCACCTTATTCAGCAGAGAGGACAGAAAACCCCACTCTCCCATGGCTCCTGCAAACAAATGCAAAAAATTAGACATTATGTTATAAATCCTTAAATAATAAATATCTTAAATGGGGAATAGAGCGTAGAGCGTTTTCATCTTGATTGAAAATTCAAGAGAACCGTTAGAATCAAAGCGATTAATTTGCTCTACGTTTTTATAATTGTTTTAAGGTTTTGTAATAAAAGAACTGTGTTGTATTTAATCTTTATTTGAATAAATACTTTGCATTAATTTGACCAAATCGAATAAATGGGACACAATGTAAATCTGCTTTGTCTCTAAATTGATCATAGTTAATTATTTGTCATGAAAAGAGCATAAAATAATATTTGATACCATATTGTACTAATGAAGGTATAAATGTACATGTATTTTAATCCAAATTAATCAGTACAACTGTTTGAATCAAATAATAATGTTTAAAAGAAGGTATGCAGTGCAGAATGTATGTTGATAAATAGGGCTTAGTGTGTCCTCAATTAATAGACATGCATACAAAAACTCTAAAAACACTGTTTGTGTTAATACAAGTTGATATTAGGCTACCAAAATCCCCTTGCCTACAATTAATTATCAAAGGAAAATAATGTTTTTTGAATTAAATCTGTTTCCTTGGTTGGATATAAAAATGAGAGTCCACCTTACCTTTGATTAAAAAGCCTTCTTTGATACAAACTGCTCGATCACCGGTGTTAAAGAGGAATGACAGATTCCAGTGCTCCAAAGCAAACTCGTGGGCAATGCCTTGAACTTTAGATCAGACTCTGTTGCTCAACACGTTGAGCTGTCACGTTGACGTGACATCTGGAAATGATACATTTGGGCTGAGCTCTCACAAGATTATCAAAGTTAATGATTAGCAGCACTTTAAAACAAAATGTTTTTGCTTTGACTGTATGTTGGACATCCCTGCAGAAATCCAGTGCAATTCAGTTTTCAAACAATTATATGAGAAAAGAAAGGGGTTTTAGTGAGTTATTATATAGAAGGCAAAAGCTGCATTGTTCAGTCAGAAGTTTTTTAGTAAATAATTAAACATGCAAAACTACATAAAAATTCAAGTAAACTAATTTTGAACTCATAGATTGTTTTTCATTTTCATTTAGTTTTAAGCTTTCCTTTTAGAAAAAAATTATCAGAAAATCAACCGTTATCAGTTCATAACTATCAAATAACTTGAAGCAGAAGCAGCAGAAAAAAAAGAAGCATATATTAAGGTAAAAACTGTGACAGTATGTTTGTCCATTTAACACAATGGACAAACATACCGTTTGTCCAATTATTTGTTAAATAAATATAATATTTCAAATTCAGCTGTGGACATAAACACTGCAAAACGAAAAAAAAAAAAGAAAAGAAAAAATCTTTGAATAATTGCATTTTCCCTTACTTGAACCGTGTAAATAAGTATTTTTGCCCTTGAAATAAGATTATTAGACATTTTGCATTTGAAATAAGATGATGGAAGGTTTTATTTCTTATTTTGTATTTTTTCCAATGTTAAATTCACTTACCTATTTGAATAAAGGAAAAATACTTACTTAGATATCAGTTTTTATAGTGTAATACAACCGTAAAAGCTCATATAAAGATAGTATGGCTTAATAGTTAATTTAGGTAATTTGAGTTAATCAAAGGTACAATTTGATTTCCTCACATAATAAAAAAATCCAAAGAAATTAGTCAAAACTTCCATAAATCTGTTTTATTTATAGTTTTAATAGAAATCTATCGGTTTATACAGTTGTAGACACAGATAATACAGCATGGAAAAGCTAAGACATTGGGGAGGAATCTTCTCTTCAACATCTGAGAGTTTTTTATTTTGGTAAATTGAGTTAGAAGCTGCAGAGCTAATTTCAGTAAAACACTTTGATAGACTGAATAGTAGGAAGAAGCCATTACTTTCAAGGCAACTTAAAAACAAATAGTAATTTTTAAGAGACTCTGAGATAAATATATTATTCTTTAAAGATTCCTAAAACAGGAGTTTTTAGCAATACTGACAGTTGATTAGCAGACAAAAGAGGAACTGTGCAAACTGCCCCATCATAACTATGATGTACAGCGTTGGCAGCATCATGGTATGTGGGTATTTATATGTAGGGAGGCTTAATCCACATCTCTAAATGGATGATGTGACAAGGTGACACATTTATTTGGAACAACTGAATCTCAAGACATCTGCCTGGTACTTAGGAAGTCCTAAACACTGACTAGTAACCTAGAGGCAAATTAGATTCAAAGTGGTTTAAGGATTACAAAATGTTTTAAAGAACTCTCATAGAGAAAAAAAGGATTCTGGGATCAAAAAAACCTACAAATCTGACCTTTGCACGAAGTGCCTTTTTTAAAAAAAAAAACCAACAAAAAAAGGGAAAAACTCTCAGATCGTGTCAAACATCAGGTTGCACTGTTTGATTTCTCCCAAAATGCTTTAAAATAATTATATTGAAACTGGCACTGTCAACCGGCCAAAATTTGGTGAACTATTGTTAAAAAAAAACCTTTGGAAAGAAACATTAAACTATTTTATTTAAATGCTATCAGGCTTTGAGGAGCCTTTTTGAATTCAAAGAAATTCCTAAAAACATAAAAAGTCTGATTCATTGTCAGATAGCAAGAAAAAACTGTGATATATAATATTCTAGTATAAAGAAATGAACCGTTAATTATATGTTCAGTATAAATGGTTCAGTATAAGTCAAGATTTGTACAATTTTTTTTATTCAAACGAAGCAGCAACTTTGTTGAAATTTGAATCATTTATTAAAAAGAGATAGAGGCATACAAAAAAGTCTTTGCTACAATCTTTTTCATAATATAGAGAGCAAATTTTAATAGAAAAGTTCTGTCACTATAAGACAAAGAACACATTAAACAAACATCCCTTCAGTCATACAGTCACAAGTGATCAGCTTTAGTATAAATAAAATCATTATTGCACACTTTGTTTGTAGATTTCAAGTTAAAACAAGAAGAAGAATCCTTCACTGTTCCCCTTACTAGTGGTTATTTATAGTTGATTTATTTTTTTTAATGGATGATCACACAATGCCAAGCCTTTGCTGAAATAAACACATTGGTACCAGTCTTTTGAAGGTATTAAAACAGTTATGATTTTAATGTCCGCTCAGTAGTCGTTTCTCCTCTTTGGCTCCATCCAGGCTGCCTCCCACGCTGTGGTTCTCCAGCTCCATGTTCATCTTGTTCTGCCTCAGTGTTTCCTCTGAGGTCGGCCACCTGGGGCCTGACAGGCTGGCTGGGTGTTCCGCTGAGGTGACCCGGTGGGTGCGACGCTTAGACCCACACCGCACCCTGGTGCAGATCAGATATAACAATTCGACAACATTGAGGACCAGAGAGACACAGGCCACCACTAGCATAAAGATTATAAAGATGGTCTTCTCTGTGGGACGGGACATGTAGCACTCCACGGTGAAGGGACAGGGCTTCCTGGAGCAGGGGAACATTGGCACCATGACAAAGCCATACAGGTAGTACTGTCCCACGATGAAGGCTGACTCAATGATGATCTTGAAGACGAGCTGGGTCAGGTAGCTCCCCAGCAGGTTCCCCTTGATCTTGATGTGTCCCTTCTCATCGCTGTATTTGGGCTGTTTGAGCGTCCGTGGCCCATCAGGGCTGGCTATCTGCTCCCTCAGCTTGTTCTCCTGTTGGATGACATGCATGGCATGGCCCAGGTAGATCAGCGTCGGAGTGGACACGAAGATGATCTGGAGGACCCAGAAGCGGATGTGCGAGATGGGGAAGGTCCTGTCATAGCAGACGTTCTCACAACCGGGCTGCTGGGTGTTGCAGGTAAAATCCGACTGCTCGTCGCCCCAAACGCTTTCTGCTCCTGCTCCCAGAACCATGATCCTGAAGAGGAACAGGACGCTCATCCAGATCTTCCCAATCACAGTGGAGTGGGACTGGACTTTTTCCAGCAAGGAAGACAAAAATCCCCAGTCTCCCATCTTTACTGAGGGTGTTCTGGCACTAATCTGTGGTGAAACAAAGGAAATCTTAATCGATAGAACAAACTCCTCATTTTAGTCCTATTGACCTCGAACCACTCCTTATTGCTAAATCATTAACCCCAACTTTTTTATGTAATCAATACACCAGTGCAGAAACGTAAGCACTACTGTAACTGTTCGATACATGAATAATATTTGGATCTAAGCATAAGAAGGAAGAAACATCTGTCAACTGAACCTTGAGCTTTTTGGTCAATATATTTCTCCAGCAGTCATTCCAGTTTACAATTTCTTGCAGAAACTAAAACTAAGTCAAAGTGAATAAAACTTGATTCCCACTAAAATAAAAAAATTAAAGTTTAAACACCCTTTAATGAAACAGCTGAAAGGATCCTTTAAATGGCTAAATGTAAACATGGTGGAAAGTAGTCAAGGCTGCCCAAAAGTAAACACCAAAAATGTGCTTAAAAGTCCAGTTACTAAGTAAAGGAAATTTACACAAATTTCTTAAATAAGACAAGTTTCATACATTAGAATGATCTCAAAGATCTTTATTTTCTAAAGTGATCATTGAGGTGTAGTAGAAAAGAAAAAGAGCAGCATCTTACCTGCTAACCTGGTCAGAAAAGACTGTCTCTGGTAGGGAAGGATCACTAACTATGGTTGAACCTTGGAGTTTTGTACTTGGTGAGTTCAGCGGGACTCATGAGGGATCAACTTACGCAACACACATCTGGCCTTTATGTCACGTTGTAATCATCAGCGGGCGAGGACAGCAGAAAAAGCTGAAGTGAGTCTTAAACGGGAGGACCAGAGTGTAATGATTGACAACTCAGAAGCCCAAATTCATGTTTGCTGAAAAGACTGAGAGTTGGGAAGAAAAGAAACAGGTGTGGTAATCAGTTCAACCATTCTGATGGAAAGACTTTTTTTATTCCAGATTAATTATTTCCTTCTTATTTGCTATAGGTTTGTTTCACTTGAATGATACTAAATTATTATTGCCCACACAGTGTTAAGTGTCAAGTTTTTTTTAGCTCTTTACACACTTATTCTGATGAAGTATTGAGAAAAAATATAAAAATTATGATTTCTGTGTATGCTTTGAAATCAAAATACTAAAGTAAAACCGGATTACAACATTAAGTGGGGGAAAGTGTTTTAAAAAAATACATCCTGTAATTCAGAGAGATAAAAGACAGATTGAGAAGTACTTCTGGACGTGGCCGTTCTCTGGCATCAGTTTCTCCATTTAAGGCCAGTTTTTATAATTCAACAATGCTTAACGCACTAGACCAGAATGGCATTGACATGCCAGTTCCAGGTTGAAAAACACCCCAAAACAAATTGAAATCTCATGACCACCCATCTGTCTATCCGTCCATCTTTCCAACTGTCTTTCCATCCGTCTATCCGTCCATCCGCCCGTCTGTCCATCCGCCCGTCCAGTCACCCATCTATGCATATTTTCTCACTTTCCCCCCAAACAAATAAACTAAACAATCTGTCTCAGGTTGGCTGAAAATCATGACAGTTTTTCAGAAAGAGAGCATCATACAAACAATCAAACATGGTGGTGATTGGGTCTATTTTGATGCTTCATTACTTGGTTGATGTGGCTTTTTTCATGGATCCACGAATTCTGCTCTCCAACAGAAAATCCTGCAGGACATTCTCCAGCTATGATTTGACGACCTAAAGCTCAAGCTGTCATGATCTTGGTGCTGATGACTTGCTTGATTGGTCATTCAATTCACCTGCCTAGCTCTGCCCAGTTTCTCATTACTGTTCATCTGTTTCACCTGCTCCAGTCTCTATCTAACCTGCCTGCTCCCAGTCATCATTGCCAAATTATTCAAGCCTTTGGTGAGAGTTCTCTAGCATACCTGAAAGTGTTCTGATTGCCTGATCCTGACCCTTTCTGCCTTTGGACCTCTGAGGCTGCCTGTTCCCATTCTGATCTGTTTGCCTGACCTGTCTTTGGACTCCTGCTGGATTCTACTTGTTGACGACCCTGGATCTGCTCACTGACACCGACCTGGATTTCCTTTCTGTACCCCTTCGGATCTCTCGTCTTCTGGCCCAGACTCCTATGAACCTCTTCAACACCGGCTGTGGCTTCATCCTCTGGATGGTCCTGCCTTCCTTCGTCTGCTCGGGTCTGATCTCCTGCCAGTTCTGCCGTCTTCAAGACTCCTGCGTCGGGAACGCATTTGTCTCGTCGCATTAGCAGCCGTTTCGCTGGAATCAACCTCCTCGTCTGGGCATGGACTGAACTTTAAGACCAGGTTAGTGACTCACACGTTCATAATCGTCCTCCGTCAAATAGACATGGTCACTAACCTTTGTTTCCTTCTTGCAGAGGTTCCTATCTTAGATGCCCTAGCTGCCACAGACAATCTGTCGGTTTTAAATACATTTTTGAGTAATCTTACTGTCTTGATTTGAATAGTGGATCCTCTGTACTGAGCCTTGACACAAACTTTGGTTCTGCGGCAGAGCAAAGAAACACACTACAAACCTAAAAGGCTCAAAAAACAGAGCTAGGCTTGGAGTGGCCTTGTCAAAGGCTTGATTTAAATTGGACTAGAACTTAACCATTAAGATGTGATAAAAAAAGAAACCTTTAAGAGGCCATTTCTTTTAAAGTTTATATGGTGACATTTTAACTTTAAAAGCTAATGTTATCTCAGAATGCTTCGTTCACTCCTTACAGTGAGTCATTATTCAACTGCTTCTTGTAAAGAAAATCCTCCTTAGCCTCCAAGACCTACTGTCTAATCAAAACTGACCAAAACCAGTTTTAGGCTTTCAAAACTGGTTTTGGTCACCATGATTAATTTGCAACCATGCAATATGTCCAGTCATTCTAGTCACTGCCAGTATTTTATAAAAAATAAAAAAAAAGTAAAAACCTTGTGAAATTTAAAAAAGCTTAGCAAGATTTAAGATGAGGAGCCAGATGCTTTTAATTAGGGCACCTGACTGACTCTTCTTAATCTAATCTGACCATCCTTTTAAGGAGCTTTGATACTGTAGGTTTTTGGCTGTGAGGATACAAGCACTGGTTAGCATAACACCAAGAGGGAACAGTATCAGAAAATGCCTTAAAGAAGCAATTGTTTTTATAAAACTATTATGGCTATCTCCAAACTATTTCCACACATTCCACATGAAAATAATTTTTTTCCCGTCAAACAGCATCCAAAGGTTCCTGTTGTCAGACATCCAAGCAAATTCTTCCAAATGCGTGATGAAGAACAAGAGTCAAGAAAAACTCTCTATAATAGACTATTAAGTGTACAAATACAAGGCTATGCACTTAACAGAGGTACTTATTTTGATTTGCACCCTCATTAACTGGTCTCTAAGCTGACGTATTATGGAGTCAAATGCCAAGCCATGGGTATCACCCAAACAAGCAATGAAGTGATATCACAGAGAATAAATGGGCCAATATTCAGGTCAAAGTCAAAAAGGAAACAACTTTTTGGTACTGCTGCTATATGTGCTGCTGTCAGCTATATATTCATCTTTGTTTAATAAATAATGACGGTGCACAATCTTTGTTTTGTTGATTTAAATCTTAAGTACGTGCATGAGTTTTTGTGTTAACCAAAGAGGACGTGTTTACTATAATACAACAGATTGATCCTTTTTTCATGTAGCTGTTTACATTCATCCATCCACCCATCTTCTCCTGCTTAGTCCTGTCAGGGTTGCGGTGGGGCCGGTGCCTATCTACAGCAGTCTATAGACGAGGGGCGGGGTACACCGCGGACAGATTGCCAGTCTGTCAAAAGCCAACACAGGGACACACAAAGACACACAACCACCCACAAAGATGCTCACACATAACAACAAAATAGAAAAACTAATTAACATAACCGTCGTGTTTTTGGACTGTGAGAGGAAGCCAGAGTACCCAGAGAAAACCCACGCATGCACAGGGAGAACATGCAAACTCCATGAAGAAAGACCCCAGGCCGGGAATCAAACCCAAAGCTTTCTTGCTGCGAGGCAACAGTGCTAACCACTGCATCACCTTGCAGACCAAAATTTTGGTATATTTATATATACATGACACAGAATGAGACAGAAAAGGAGTGTGGTCAGAATAGTAATGCTGCAGACAAGAGGATAAGAGAAGTGAAAGTCTTTATTAAGAAACCATATGTAAAACAGAATCATAAACTAAAAATGAACAGTTTCAAATCCTGTAAGGGTGATTGCCCAAGCTGACTGGCATAGAAAGACACCTTATTGCCACTTGTCACCGGAAATGACAAGAGGAAATGCATGAAACAGCGTGGTGAGGAATGAGTAAAGGGTGGTTAGATAACCTGGGCACCCGTTGCTGGGACAACCAAATAGATATTGGACAAATAGAAGAAAACACACTTTTCATTAACAGGAAACCTGGAATTTTAACAAACCCCCCCAAAAAAAAACATCAGAAAAACAATAAAATCCAGTAAAATATAGACTTAATCTTGAATCTAAAAAAAAACAGAATTTAATCTAATTGTCAAAATCAAAACCTTTGCAAGAAGAAATAAGTCTCATATCTGAAATACAAAAAAAAAAAATAGGGATACACTGTGGAATAGTATTCTTTTATATATTTTTTTTACAAATTATTATTATCCACAGAGATATTTTTTTATTGAAATAATGCAGCATTTATTTTCAATTGTTAGTAATTCTGTGTGTGACTTTGCTCTGTGTACTGAAGCTGCTGCCCCCCTCCCTCTTTATTTACCTCCTAAAGGCTCGTCTCTCTGCCATGCAAACCAATGCTTCGGCTCACAGCGGTGCACACCCACTCGACCTGACCCGATTCATGCTTCAGATGTGGATCTCCCCAATAATGTTCCCGCTGGTCACATCTACAGCTCTTTCACCCACCCCGTTCATCCCTGACTTTCTACCCTGCAGCTCCATATCCAGGTTTACAAAATTCTGAATCACCTCACCCTGCTTCTGAGTTGGTTTGTTCTCTGACCTCGGGGGTGTCACCGGGGTCACGGTGTAGTCCTGCCTCCTGGCTGCACATTCCTTCACCGCCCTCACGCACAGGTAGAATAGCTCAGCAATGCTGAGGGTGAGTGAGACGACAGCCGCCACCAGCATAAACCAGATGATGATGGATTTCTCTGTGGGTCTGGACAGGAAGCAGTCCACCTTGTGAGGGCAAGGGAAGCGGGAGCACACGTACCGGGCCTCCAAGGTGAAACCGTACAGGAAGTACTGACCCACAATGAACAAGGCTTCCAGAACAATCTTGGCTATGAGATGCAGGACATAACTACGAAGGAGGCGACCGTGGATGCTGACTTTTCCGCTGCTTTTTGTGTACTTAGGAACCTTGAAGGTCCTCCTTAGAAACAGACTTGCTTTGTCGTCCAGTTGTGCCTGGTTTCGCATCTTTTCCTTGACCTAATTCATGAAGAACAATAATTCAAAGTCAGACATTTTTCAGGCACAAACCTCCAGAAATACAAGTTAAATTAAAATCCAATCTAGACCGGGAAAGTGATAAAGACACATTTCAACAGTGTTTAGAGGCACAAAAGCGCTTAAAGGCTTTTCTAAAAATAGGCAAATTTTGTTTTTTAAAGTACAGAGCAACGAAATTAACTCTCTGCATTTAACCCATCCCCTTTGGGGAGCAACGGGCTGCCATTGTGGGGCAACCGGGGAGCAGTGAGGAAGGGTTAAGGGTCTTTGCTCATGGATCCAGAGTGTCAGTCTGTGGGAGTGGGGCTTGAAATCAAAACCTCAGGATTCCAAAAGCAATGCCCTATTCACTTAACCTGACTCCGCCAGATGGATTTGCTCCGCATATCCATCTGGAAACCTTCCGTTGAAATAATTTTGGGAAGGGGCGAAAATACTGGTTAGCTATGTTGGTGATAGACGGGCCAAATAAACCAATCAGATCAACGAAGCATATGACGTACTAACAGCCAGGCTACTCTTGCCAAAA